TTAAAGAGCAATTTTCTTTGTATAATGAATCATAGCCAATATTTTCCTCTTTGGTTTCCAAAATTTTCTCCATTTCACTCTTTAATAATTTATATTTCTTTTTAAGAATAGAGTGACTAAGGCGAGCTTTTCAAATTCTTCTAACATTTCATCGTAAGAGGAAAATAAATCATCATATGAGAGTTTTTCAATGGGGATTACCTCATCATCAATTGCCATGAAGCACACATTGGCGATTTCTTCATGACTTTCATCTTCATTTGATCATCATCATCATCATCGCTTTCATCCTATGTCGCTTGAAGGGCTTACTTTTTGGTGAATCTATTCTTCTTTTCTTCAATTTTTTCTTTCTTTTGGAATCGATGATTTTTGCGAAAACTTTTCCACTTCTTGACAAGAAGAACTAGATCATTAAGTTCTTCATCATTCATATTTTTGCTTGAAGTGCCTTCATCAATTGCAGATTTAAAAGTAACTTGGCGTCTTCCCTCTTCTTTGCTTTTCAATGTTTTCTCCTTTGTCTCGGTTCGATTTAGCTCATATGTCATCAATATTCCATAGAGCTCTTCCAATGGATATGTGTTGATATCTTTGGTATTTTCTATCAATATTTTCAATGGGCTCCATTCTTCTGAGAGTGACCTAAGTATTTTACTTACAAGCTCGCCATTAGTAAATTTACGATCAAAACCTTTGAGACTATTAACAATATTGGTGAAGTGCGTAATCATGTCAACAATAGGTTCATTTTCTTTCATGAAATTTTTTTCAAAATCTTTAACTAAGAGATTTATCTTAGTTTCTTTCACTTTGGTAGTTCCAATATGAGTAATTTCTAAAGCATGCCAAATATCATAAGTCGAATCACATGTACTAATACGTTTAAATTCATTTCTATCTAAAGCACAGTAAAGTATATTTTTGGCTCTAGCATTTAAAGATAATTTTCTTTTATCATCTTCATTATATTCCTCTCTAGGTTTAGCAATTATTTGATCCGATTTACCATTTTCTTTAATAACATTTTTAGGCAATACGGACCAAATTCAACAACTTCCCAAATATTATAATCTATTGATTGAATAAATATTGTCATCCTAGCATTCCAATAGTTATAATGAGTGTCATCAAATAAAGGATGACGATTTGTAGAATACCCTTCTAGATTATGAAAGATGTGGTTAGCCATTACTTAAAATTGAGCACCTTACTCTGATACCAATTGAAAGCCCAACTAACCAAGAGAGGGGGGAGGTGGGGTTAATTGGTTTTTAAAACTTTTTCGAATAACTAACTAGAATACATAAGTTAAAAACACGTTGATAGATT